GCTTTCCATATGGGTGCTGGTTTGTGTTCCAGCTGCTCCACTTATGATCAGATTTCCCGATAATGTGCCTGGGAAAGTAGCAGAAGATGGGCCAACTTCTTGGGCCACTGCTGCCCACATGGGGGACCCGAATGGAGCTCCTGGCTTTGTCCTTGTCCAGCCCTGCTGATGTCATTTAGGGAGTGAACCAGTGAATGGAAGATCTCTTTCTGCCTCTGCCTCTCCCTCCCACTGTAGCTTGGCCTCTCAGATAAGTAAATGAATCTCTTTTTTTAAAGATTAAATTATTATTTGAAAAGCAGAATGACAGGGAGGGAGAGATGTGAAGAAGTTTTTCATTTGCCAGTTAATTCCCCAGGCTACACCAAGTTGAAGCCAGGAGTCAGGAAGTCCATGCACGTCTCCCACATGGGTGGCAGGGGCCCGAGTCCTGGAGCCACCCGTTGCTGCTTTCCCACGCACATTAGTTGGTTTGGAAGTGGAGTAGTTGTGACTTGAATGGGTGCTCACACCAGCCCCAGTATATTCAGTTTGCGCTGTTTAGTTATACATTATTAAGGCTAGAAAACATTTGTGGAAGGACTGGTACCGTATGTAATAATTATTACATGGCTGAGTGTTCTGAGTTTGTTTGGCTCATGAATTACTGACATTCCCTGTAACTTACTAACAGGAGTCTGTGAGAATATCAGAGGAGAATATTGACAGTGTTAATATATAGTAATGTCCATATTACTGTGTATGGAATAGGATCAATATTTCTGTTTCTTCTGAAACTCAGGAGGAAAGAAACAGTGTGGTAATTAGTCAAATTAAAAGAGCAAGCATCTTACTTAATCTCTTCAGGAAGCGTTCTTTATTTAGTTTTCAGTCTGTATTTAATATGGCCTGTTTTTTCCAAGTGTTAGACCAATAAACAGAAATATCTGTGATTTTTTTTTCTCTTGTCATGCTGCAGAGAAGATATGAAAAGATTACAGACATTACAGCAGTTCTGTTGAGCAAACACAGCAATGGCTGTTTCTTAGCCTCCTGAGGACCACTCTGTCCATCTGAGTAGATCCTCGCCAGGTCAAAGTTTCTGTGGAGCTTCTACTTCAGGGCATTTTTCCCCTTAAGAATGAGGACCTTTGGTGCTGGGGACAGATTCTTCTCCATCAGGCATAACTTTTCCGTGCCACCACTGACTTTCCCGTGACGTTTTTCTCTGTCCTTAACAACCCTATTAATAGTTTATATCAGTGTTTCAGGCAGATCCTGGTCCTCTAGACGCCCATGAAATGATCACGTAATGTTTGATATTTCCACTGTCATATTAATAGTGTAGATGTATAAATATCTGACAAGCCTTTATTTTAAGAGGCAATTGATTTAATTGTGTTTATTCCTATGTTCTGAGGATATAAGGCTTCCTAGGAGCATATTTTGGGAAATGGTTTTTTAAAGATTTATTTATTTTTTATTGGGAAGGCAGATATACAGAGAAGAAGATCTTCTGTCCGATGATTCACTCCCCAAGTGACCGCAACGGTTGGTACTGCGCCGATCCGAAGCCAGGAGCCAGGAACCTCTTCCAGGCCTCCCACACGGGTACAGGGTCCCAAGGCTTTGGGCTGTCCTCGACTGCTTTCCCAGGCCACAAGCAGGGAGCTGGATGGGAAGTGGGGCTGCCAGGATTAGAACTGGTGCCCACATGGGATCTTGGTGTAGTCAAGGCCCAGGAAATGAATGTTTAATAAGTATTACTTTATATGAAGCCTATAGGATGTAAATTTTTTCATGATTTAAAAAAAATATTTTTGGTGATGTTTATGTAGTTGAGAAGGATGCATGCCCATGTGACCACTGATTAGAGTGGGAGATTAGGGGAAAGTGGATGAGACTGTTGTTTCCAAGTTTCTCTTACCTACTTCAGTAATCCAGAATTATTACTATGTGAAAGAAAGTGAGTGATAAAGGGAGAAAGAGACAAAAAGGGAGAAAGGGAGAAAGAGGAAGAAGGAAATGGAAGGAAGGAAGGAAATAAATGAAAAAAAATTCTTTTACGTGCTGTTCGCTTTGCCAGATGGCCACATTCCAAGCCAAGAGCCGGGGCTCCGTCTAGATCTCCTCCGTGGGCGGCAGGGGCTCAAGGACTTGAGCTGTCAACGGCTGCTTCCCAGGTTCTCCAGCAGGGAGCTGGATTGGAACTGGAGAAACATAATCTGATCCAACATTTCAGTTTATGATGTGGGCCTCTCACATAGCAGCTTATGTCTCTGTGCTACAACACCTGCCCCTACTATGTCATCCTTTAATAATAGTTCATTTTACTAATAATACTAATACTAATTCATTTTACTAATAATTCATTTTACTTTTTAAAAAAGATTTTATTTATTTATTTTTTAATTGGAATGTCCAATATAGAGAGAGGAGGAGAGACAGAGAGAAAGATCTTCTGTCTGTTGATCCACTCCCCAGGTGCCCGCAATGGCCTGAGCTGAGCTGATCCGAAGCCAGGAGCCAGGAGCTTCTTCCAGGTCTCCCATGTGCAGGGTTCCAAGGCTTTGAGCAGGAACTGCTCCACAAGCAGGGAACCGTATGGGAAGCAGGTTTGCCAACATACAAACTGGCACCCATATGGGATCCCGGTGCATACAAGGCGAAGATTTTAGTGACTAGGCTGCTGTGCTGGGACCTTCATTTTTTTTAAGTCTTTTATTGCTGGTTTTATATTACATCCCTCATTTTGAGAACACAGAATTTATCTCCGTTACTTATACCTAGTATTGGCCTAACTAGAATCATGATAACCCTATTTTGATAAGTACAGTTAAATGTTTTATATTATTAATGTTGTATGGACTGATTTGATGGTGGAGTAAAGCAATCATCTGACTGGGCCTGGTGCAGTAGCCTAGTGGCTAGAGTCCTCACCTTGTACTTGCCGGGGTCCCATATAGGTAGGTGCTGGTTCTAATCCTGGCAGCTCCACTTCCCATCCAGCTCCCTGCCTGTGGCCTGAGAAAGCGGTCGAGGATGGTCCAAAGCCTTGGGACCCTGCACCTGTGTGGGAGACTTGGAAGAAGTTCCTGACTCCTGGCTTCAGACTGGCTCAGTTCCAGCCGTTGCGGTCACTTGGGGAGTGAATCATTGGTTGGAAGATCTCTGTCTCTCTTCATGTCTGTATATCTGCCTTTCCAATAAAAATAAATAAACCCTAAAAAAATCAGATATATGTTCTTTTGGAATATATAGAAGTGCTGAATCTCGGCCCCAGCGCGTTAGCCTAGTGGCTTACGTCCTTGCCTTGAATGTGCTGGGATCCCGTATGGGTGCCGGTTCTAATCCCAGAAACCCCGCTTCCCATCCAGCTCTCTGCTTGTGGCCTGGTGCCATCTGACCCAACTGCATGGCTCCCCACAGAGGACGGCCCAAACCCGCGTGGTAGACCTGGATGACGGTCCTGGCTCCTGGCTCCTGGCTTTAGATTGGTGCAGCTCTAGCCATTGTGGTCACTTGGGGAGTGAATCATCAGATGAAAGATGTTCCTCTTTGTCTCTCCTCCTCTCTAGGTATATCTGATTTTACAGTAAAAATAAATAAATCTTCAAAAAAGTGCTGAATTTCAAGGAACGCATGGGGAAGGATATTATATATATTTTGTTTATTTAATTTAGACCAAGCCTGCTAAGCATTATAAAATATCTTCCTGATACTCCTGTGTTTATTTGTTTATTTCTCCCATTTCTACTTTATAAGATCTGGACTGTAGGTTTTTTTTTTTTTTTAAAGTATTTATTGGAAAGACAAATGTATATCCCGAGTGGCTGAAATGGCCAGAGCTGAGCTGACCTAAAGCCAGGAGCCAAGAGCTTCTGCTAGGCCTCCCACGCGGGTGCAGGGGCCCAAGGCTTTGGGGCATACTTTGCTGCTTTTACTAGCCCAAATCAGGGAGCTGGATGGGAAGTAGAGCAGCAAGGACATGAACTGTCACCCAAATGGGTTTCTAGTGCTTGAAGGGGGAAGATTAGCCAGTTGAACCATTGTCCCAGGGCCTGTAGTTCATGTCTTAAAAGGGACTCATGCTTGACTCATTCTTTCCCTTTGGTTGTAAGGTCACTGCTCTCGAAAGTCATAGAAAACATTGCCATTAGAGAAATGAGCAATGAGAACAGGTCTTAAATTGTCAGGATACACTTTATCTTTCTTGATTATAAACTTGTTTTGGTTAAATTATGGTTGACAGATCTGCTAGTCTGAAAGTAGTCAGCGGCACATTAAAATGATTTTAGAAATTTTTTTTTGTTTTAAAACTTGCATATTCTCATTGCCTAACTGAATAAAAGTTTAATTAGAAATATCTATAATATACTTATTATTTTATCCTTTTGTTCTCAAAAATATAGAATCATCTTACTATAGTTGAGATCACTATCAATGTAGCTTTATATTTTGGTTTTTCCTTTGTATAATTTGTCAGGGAAATGCTGAGTATTCTATTGTATTCATTCTACCAATAAATTGTGTGTATGTGTGTGTAAAAATATCATCATCTATATATACATAAGGTATTAAATTGACTGTTCCAAGAAAAGTTTATTATGTTTATTATGTTTTACGAAAGTTAGCTATAATTCTAAAGCAGATCATGAAGAATATCCATCTTATTATAAATTTATTTGCAAGGCAGGGTGACAGAGAAGGGAGAGAGTGAACTTCTATCCACTGGTTGGTTCACTGCTCGAGTTGCTGCAAAAGCCATAGATGAGTCGGACTGAAACCAGGAGCCAGAAGCTTCATGTTAGTCTGCCTCGTGGATGGCAGAGGCCCAAGGACCTGGGTCATCTTCTGCTGTCTGCTGTACAGGAAACCGGATCAGAAGTGAAGTAGCTGGGAGTTGAATCTGCACTGCAACCTGGGTTGCTGGCACCAGTCTCTCCGTGCTCTTCTGATTTTCAGAAAGGAACTTAGTTGGATTGTCTGAATTTTGTTTGGCATGGTTTCTTTCTTTCTAGATTCCTCTCTTTGGTGCTAAGACTATTGGCCGGAGAAGTCCCGATGGGCCAGCGCTGAGTAAAGCTGAATTTGTGGAGAAGGTTCGTCAGAGTAACCAGGCCTGCCATGATGGAGATTTCCACACAGCTATTGTTTTGTATAATGAAGCCCTTGCTGTTGACCCTCAGAACTGCATCTTATACAGCAACAGATCTGCAGCCTACATGAAAATCCAACAGTATGACAACGCGCTGAACGATGCGATCAAAGCCCGGCTACTCAACCCCAAATGGCCAAAGGTACAAATCCCATTTTCTCTCACAGGCTCTGGTGTGCTGCTTTTCTCTTCTAATACATTTTACTTTAACAGCAGTGCAGTTATCAAATATAATTTGAACTTCGGTAATATATGCTTTTTAAGTGTACTTTCTCTTTCCAGGTTCCTTTTCCTATATATTTGAAATTTGAATATTTTTTCTTTCCACTTTGTAATAAGATGCTTTCTAGTTACTTAGGTTTTGCTTATCTTAAGTTTGCATAGCATTTTAGATGGGGCATGACTTCCCTTCAATTTAAAGTAATACATTTTATTCCCTGTTAATGACTGCTTGTTTTCAGAATAATATTTAATTAAGGGTTTTTTTCCCCCTAATAAATCATTGTAATTATATCCATTCTCTTACATACTGTAAAGTTTGAGCCTGTATCCTCGTTTTATGTGTTTATACTTTATTTTCAACGTGGGTTTTTTTGTTGCCTAAGTAAATCTCTAGTGTATTACAGCAGCAGCATCTTCAGACAGGATAGAGGATAATGGTCACGGATTTGTAGACCGCCTGCAGATTTAAGCTACAGTAGGAGGGCTGCAGTTAATGTTGTATTGTTTGGGGGATAATTACTAACGTGCGAGGTATTCTTACCACTTACATATGCACACATTAACAAACAAATTAATATTGTCTCAGGATCGGTTTAGTAATTTGTCGTTTCCTAAAGAATTTCTCTTATACCTGTAACCACTGTAAATGAAGTGCTTGGGAGTTAAAATGCTATTTTTCAAAAGACTAGATCTAGGTTCCTATTTGTAACACCTCTCTATTAATGACAATATGGATTTAAATCCCACTGATTAATATATATTTGAAAATATATTATTGGATATGATTTGTTCAGATTTTTAAAAGAAATTTTTACATATGTGTTATGGGTTCTATTGATCTGTAACTCTGTTTCCCGCATAATGTCTTTGATCTCAGTGTCAGTGTAGTTTTGACTTTATGCAATGAACTGTTAAGTATTCTTTCTTCTTGTAGCTTCTGAAAGAATCTGTGTTGGGTTGGCATTTTTTTTTTCTTAAGTGTTTGATAGAATTTACTACTTAGGCATCTTTATCTGTGCTTATTTTTCTAGGAAGGTTTTAATGACATAAATTCAATCTCTTTGATTTAGGGTTTTTCAAGTAATTTTTTTTTTAATGAAAGAATTATTTTGCTTATTTAAAAGCCAGACTGAGAGAAGGAGAGATGGGTTGAGAAAGAGGTCTTTACATGTGCTGGTTCACTCCACAACTGGTCACAGTGGTCAGGGCTGGGTCACACTGGCACCAGAAACTTGGAGCTCCAGCTGGGCCTCCCTTGTGGGTGCAGGGCACCAAGCGCTGGGCCTTTCTCTGCCGTCTCCCCGGGTGCATTAGCAGGGAGTTGGGTTGGAAGTGCAGCTGACTGTGACTGGTTCTCTGATGCGGAACGCTGCTGCTGGCAGTGACTTCACTTGCTGTGCCACAAGTTCGTTGTTCCTTTCAGTCTTTTGTGTAATTTAAAGTCAGATATATACAGAGAGGAGGAGAGACAGAGAGGAAGACCTTCCAGCCGATGATTCACTCCCCAAGTGTCCGCAATGGCTGGTGCTGCGCCGATCCGAAGCCAGGAGCTAGGAACTTCCTCTGGGTCTGCCATGGTGGATCAGGGTCCCAAAGCCTTGGGCCGTCCTTGACTGCTTTCCCAGGTCACAAGCAGGGAGCTGGATGGGAAGCGGGGGTGCCGGGATTAGAACCGGTGCCCACATGGGATCCCGGCGCGTTCAAGGTGAGGATTTTAGCCGCTAGGCTATGGCACTGGGCCTGATCTTTCATCTTCTAACTGACCTCCCACATGGCTGTAACATATTGTAAAACGCACTCACCGCAGGGAGAGTACTGAGGACACAGAATAAGGGAATTGTGGGAAAATGTTTGGATTCATAGAGATCTCAAAGAACTGGATATGAACATGTAGGTAAAATGTGTTCTAAGCAGAGGAAATGGCTGCCTTGGTCATGGCCAATTGAAGAAACCTGTGTGAAGCCCCTCAGCGTACAGTGAGTGAAGGACAGGCGACAGTGGAGGTCACGCAGGTCATGGTGATGGCACAGTGCTTTCCTCCAGGAGTGATAGGTTAGCACTGGGAAGTTTTAGCTCGAGGAGTTATACAGCTAATTTATATGGTTTGTTTTGAAGTTATGAATATGCTGTTTAATTTCCACATATTTATGACTTTCCAGGATCTCCTTCTGTTACTGACTTCAAATTTCATTCCATTGTGGTTAGAGAAACATGTTTGTATAATACCAATCTCTTAAAATTTATTGAGGCTTTTATTGCCTAGCAAATGGCAGTAAAACACCATACTCAATATATTTCATGTTCATTTAAGAATATTATGTTCTCTTGTGGATCAGGGAGTTCTAAACATGTTTATTAGCTAGTTTATAGTGTTGTCCAAGTCTTCTCTCTCTTTTTTAACAGCATCTGGAAGGGTGAGTAGTATGGCACAGAAGATTAGCCTGCTTCTTGTGACACTGCCATCCTATCTAGTACAGTGTTGACTCTAGTCCTGGCTACTCCACTTTTGATCCATCTCTGGCTGTTGTACCTGGGAAAGCAGTGGAGGAATGACTCTAGTACTTGGGCCCCGTGTATCTGGGCCTCTTTTACCCATGTCGGAGGCCAGGAAGGAGTTGCTGGTACTTGGCTTCAGCCTGGCCCTGCCCTGGCTGTCACAGCCATTAGGGGAATGAGCCAGTAGATAAAAGGTAGAATTTTTTCTCTGTTTTTCCCTTTATTAATTTAAAAAAAAAATAGCATCAGTGGTTCTGTCTGTTACTGAAAATGGGGTACTGAAGTGTCCAGCTGTTACAGTGGGATTTTCTATTTCTCCAATTTTCTCAGGTTTGCTTCATGAGTTTTTGGGGTCCTATTGTTGTACTCCCTAAAAGATTGATATTTTAATCATTATATAGTGTTTTTCTTTGTTTTTAATAATGATTATTGTCTTAAAGTCTGTTTTACCTGATATTAATATAGCTAGCCAGCTGTCTTTTAAAAATATATTTATTTATTTTTATTAAAAAGGCAGATATACCTTTCCAAGAGAGAAGGAGATACAGAGAGAAAGATCTTCAGTCTGTTGGTTCATTCCCCAAGTGGTTGCAACAGCGGAGCTTAGTTGATCTGAAGCCAGGAGTTTCTTCCAGGCCTCTCACATGAGCGCAGGGTTCCCAGGCTTTGAGCCATCCTCTGCTGCTTTCCCAGGACACACACAGGGAGCTGGTAGGAAGAGGAGCAGCCAGGACATGGAACTGGGGTCCACATGGGATCTCCATGGTTGCAAGGCAAGGATTTCGCCACTAAGCTATCGTGCCAGGCCCTGTCAAATGGTTTTTAGCTTCACAGTATGATTTCCCATTCTATCAGCCTATTTGTTTTTTGAATCTAAAGTTAGTATCTTGATGACAGAACGTAGTCAAAATGTGTATTTAATGTCAAGCTTGCCAACTCCTGCCTTTTAATTGTGGTGGTTAACCTATTTATACTTAACATAATATCGACCATTTTCCACTTGATTTCAACACATGTCTTTGCTGGCTTTCAGTTTCTCTATTCCTCCTTTTGTGTTAAATAGTTTTTTATTGCATCAATTAAATTTTCTTTTAAAATCTTATATAATATATAATCATGCTCATATATTTTCTTAGTCTTTAGACAGTTTTCTTTAGTTCTTTGAACACACTTGTAACACCTGATTTAATATCTGCATCTGGTAAATCTAAGATGTCGATTTCCTCAGGGATGATGGTATTGCTGCTTTCTTACCCCATGATATAGGCCATACTTAGCTATTACTGTTTGTTTCACACTTTGTTGTTAAAAACTGCATGTTTCTATGGGCTCCTTCACTTCTGACCCAGCTCCCTGCTTGTGGGAGGGCAGTGGAGGACAGCCCAAAGCCTTGGGACCCTGCACCCATGTGGGAAACCTCCTGGTTCCTGGTTTCAGATCGGCTCAGCTCTGGGATGGCTTTTTGGGGAGTAAATGGGGGGGTGGGTGGAAGAGCTTTCTCTACCTGTTTCCCCTTCTCTCTGTAAATCTGCCTTTCCAGTAAAAATAAATACATCTAAAAACTTTTTTTAAAAACCTGCATGGTTTAAGTGGTATCAAATCCTTGTCTGTGGGGTTTGTTATTGTTGTTGTTTGTTGCTGTCTCCTTTGTGTTGGTGGTTCTCCTAGGTGAATTCCTTCAAGTTTGTTTTCCTCACCATGTTAGGCTGCTGACGTCCCTGTTTGGGTGGCTCAGTGCTCGGCTACTGCTTGAACAGATTCCGTGTGTGTTAGGGCATATCTTCCAGTTTACAACTGTATTTTAGCCTTTACTTCTTGTGTGTCTACAGCCGCAAGGCTAATACTAACTCAAATGTTTCAGCACATTCCCAGACTCCTAGGAAAGTATTGGCATTTTAAAATAAAAGCCTCCCCTCACCCCTGAACATTCTAGATTTTTCTTTTAAGGTTTTTCATTAGACTGTTGTTTACCCAGAGTTCACTGTTTCTTCAGGCAGCTGTCATATTTATTATATGATCACCTTTGATTTGGTTTGGCACGTGCCTTGGGAAGAGGGCTGTTTACACGGAGCTACCTCTGAGGCAGGTCAGATAAAGTCCTGTGAATGGACCTTCTTCAGGGAAATACAAGACAAGTCGGCTGGGGATGGAGGTTCAAACCATTTAGATCTCTCCATGAGCTCCTCAACTCCTGTCTTTCATGCCTGTTACTGTCTGGAGGACGCTAAACAGCTAGTCTTTCACTTAGCTGGGAGAAAAGGGACAGAAATATTACAAGTTAAAATCTTGCAAATCTTGCTGTTTTACTGAGATTCAGTTGTTTCTCTCAAATAAATACTTCTTGGGTTGTTACAAACTGTTGGTTAATTTCCAGAGTTCTCAAAAATTGATTTAGAGAAGTTTGGCTAGTGTTATCATTGCTTT